CATGCGGCTGATCTCGCGGGCGGTGGTGGCGCTGTACTGGGCCAGGCTGGCCTCCTGGAAGCCCGCGGCTTCTCCCCGGGGGCCATACCTGTGGTCTGAGTAGATGTTGGACACGGAGCTGTAGCGCCGCATGGGCAGTGGGTGAGTCAAGGGGTCTGTGGGGTGGCGCAGGTCCGTGAACGAGCCGTACTGCAGGCCCTGCCCCAGGTAGCGCCCGTCCGCAAAGCCCAGGCTGTAGGACTGCCTCAGCGAGCTGAGGTCCATGGCCGAGTCTCGCCCTGGGCCCTGGAAGAGCTGCCCCATCCTGTGGGCGTGGTAATTGAAGCTGGCCTCAGCCAAATTGGTGTCGGACATGGAGGAGTACAGCCTGCCTGGGAGGCCAAGTGGGTAGGGCCTCTGCTCCTCAGGGTGCCCAAGCCCCGCTAGCCCCTGGGCCCGGTAGGTGGAGGGCTCGGGGGGCTCCGGGTCCCGCGGACTGTAGAAGGGGCCGCTGCTCTGGGCCCGTGGGGCAGCCTCGGCCCCACTCTTCTCTGGGGCGCTGGGGGCGGGGTGGAAAGCGCCCGTACAGCTGCTGCCGAAGGGGAACTTGTAGACCACGTCGCAGCACGCCAGCTGGCTCTCGGGCCTCATCCCCGTGAGGTCCATGGCGCCCGCCGGCTCCTCCGGGAGCAGCGTGGTCACAGTGCCTGCCGCGCCCTCTGCCATCTGCACCAGCACGGTGTGTGGCTTCCTGGCACCCAGCTCCGGCACCGGGCCTGCCTTGAGGCCAGCGCTCTGAGCAGTGCCCATCTGAGTGATCAAAACATCTCTTCTGGCCAGAGGCGCCACCTGGTTGGGCAGGTTATACCTGGCAACCTTGGCCTCCCTGGGTCTTCCCCGGGGCCCACCTCGGTACGGGGCTGTCTGGACGGCCTGCTCCACCTGCCTGACCTGGGCCAGGCACACGGGGCTACCTGCCCCCTGGCCGAAGTCGAGGCGGCTCTGGAAGGGGTCTCCATAGACCACAGGCTGCTTCTGCTGAGCCAGGAGCACAGAGGAGGCCACGGTGATGCTCACGGTGGTGGCCGTGCCGATGAAGGCCTGGGTCTGCTCCTGGGCGTTGAGGTTGATGACCAGAGGCTGCACCGCTGTGGACTGCCGCCCCGGGCCCGGCTCCAGTGCCAGGCCGTACTTCCTCGCTTCCACGGCCAGAGAGGTCAGGTCCATGCCCTGGTCAGTGAGGATGATGGGCGTGGGCTTGACGGCCGTGCGGAGGTCCACCACGGCACTGCCCGGGGGCCTGGGCCCGGGCTCCACCCTGGACGTTCCCGGGACGGAGGAGATCCGGCACAGGGAGATGTTCTCGGCAGGGAGGGCGCCCCAGCCGTACAGT